AGTGCTGAACACATAATAAATATTAATTCACATATTAAAACCAATTAGCTTAGTATGGTAGTTTTTCCAAAGATTTTCATACAGTGAAATAGCCAGACTTCTACAATTTACTATCTGCTACAAAAAGTGTACTGAAGCTATTTGTTTTGCTTATTCCAATTGCCTTTCCAGTTTTCATAATGATAAATACTGTAAACATACAGTAAAAACATGCCAGTAACATGTATACTTTCTTTCTGCATTTTCTTAGCACAGCTTTTAAAATAGTTTTTTTTTTTTTAAAGGAATTCTCAGTTATTATTTAGGGTTCTCATGGTTTCAAGTTACAGTAACACAATTCAAAGTAACTTAAATAGGGCAGGCCAAATAGATCAGTGGATTAAAGCACCTGCAGGCAGATCCAGGGGCCAGGGGTTTGATTCCCAGGCCTGCCATGCCAGCCCCGCCCCTAGGGCATGCTGAGACAGCAATTGAGACTGGGCGTGGTGGCATGCACCTGTAATCCCAGCTCTTGGGAGGCTGTAAACAGGCAGAGCACTGTAAGTATGATCTAGTAGTGAGAACCTGAACACCCTGTAGACCCTTCCCAAAAACACAGAAAAAAACCCAACAACAACAAAAAATCAAAGTAACTTATATAAAAGAAATCAAGCAAAATTATAAAACAAATAAATATGTATGCAGAATATTTCATGTTATATGACTATGATTAACCAAATATCTGTATGCAAAACATCAAATCATGTTGTTTGCCTGATTTTTTTCTCCTTAGGTGAATAGATATTCTCTACGTCACAGAAAAGCTTGTTGCCAGGAGTCCAAGAAGGATTTCTGAAGATAAAGTCTTTCCTTACTGCCTTGGCATAAAAGTATCTGGAAGGGTCTAACTTGTCATAGTGTGAGTTAAACACGATCTCTGAGTATCCTTGGAATATATAGTATTCTAAGTGACTACCTGTTATGGTTTGTGTCTAGTTTTCCCCTCAAAGTCTCATGCAGTCATGGTATGACTTCTAGAGTTTGTGATTAACTCATGATCCACTGGGATTATGGGTGTGAATGCTGCTGGGATTATGGGTGTGTGTGCTGCTGGGATTATGGGTGTGAATACTTCACCCAGCCTGTGGCAGATAGCCTGAATACAGCTAAGGGAGAGAGACTTGCTCTCAGCAGCCATTGTTGCCTCTACTTCTCCCTTTTGCTCTTGCTGTTTTGCTGCCTTATGCCACCATGAACCACTGTCTTCTGCCATATGCCAATCTGTCTTGAAGCCATCTGAGTATGGACTGAAACCTCCATGAACTGTGAGCTGGCAGGGTGAGGGGGTGCAGGATGAGATAGCCCAGTGGACTAAATGCTTGCTTTGGCAAGTGCCGGGACCAGGGGTCAATTCCTGGTCCTGCATGCCCTGGGCATGGTGGCACACACCTGTAATCCCAGCTCCGGGGAGGTTGAAAACAGGAGGATCACTACAAGTCTGAGCTACACAGTGAGATCCTGTACCAAATACATAAAAATGAAAAAAATATTAAACTGTGAACTAAATAAACCTTTCCTTCCCTAATTTTGAGTGTTGGGTGTTTGTCTCAGTAATGAGAGAAAAGTAACTGAGACATTAAGTCTAAGTAATGTACCTATTTCTGAGGTAGGAAGCTTTTAATTACCTCTAACTGAAACAATTACTTGTAAAGGGTGTTTCAGTTTTAAAGGAAAAGATCAATTTCATAAATTGCTCTACACAAATTATATGTTAATCTTTGTAAGTTCCCATCATAGAGATAAAATAGAATCATAGTACTTCAAGAAACCCTAAATATTCCCAGTACATCAAAGTAGTTTCTTTTTATGTGTTTTTCAGTTTTATGAAGGTTAGTTCATATTTACAAGCTTTATTCTACTTGTGTGCAATGTTAGACAACTACTCATAGGAAAGGCATGATCTACACAAATATTCCTGAGTAAATTTTGACTAATTCTACTATAATTTTCCAAGAAAGAGATTCTATTATCAACAAAATGGCATATACATTCCCAATACATGAAATTTCAAAAATAATTGCATTTGCTACATACAAAATTCATGGCACATTCTCCCATTCTGAAAATCAACATATGTCAAGGGTTCATCCAATTATTGCTTTCAATTCCAAATTCAAGAACTGTGAATAACATACATGACTTCTTGGTTAGTACAAATGAAGATTTATTCAACTTTGGCTTACTACTAAGCCCTGTCAGCAGAACTCTAGCAGGAGTTCCCCTTTAGAAAAGAAGTCTAAACAATACGTAGATGTCTCCAGTCCATAACATGTACCATCTATCCTTAGAGGGGGAAAAGCAGACGATCCTTGGTGTGCCAAAATGAATTTCACTCTGGCAGGGGAAATTTCTTAGCTAATCAAGTTGTTCTGAATTTCTCTTTCTGAGAGCAGCTCAGCTTTCTCTTACTTGACTAATGGCCTCATATATGCGGGATATTTGAGAGAATTCCTCCTTTAAAGAATGCACTGGAGATGGACTCTTAAGTTTGAGCAATCAGTAGACTGGCTCCATCCTAGGGTTTTATCTGGTTCCTCCACTCTTTTAATGTCTGAATATGACAGAAGTGACTTCTTGAGATTCTTCAGATTAAAATTCAAAACCGAAATATGACACTTGACTCTAACCCCCACCTTATAACTTTCTCTTTCATCTTTAGCTGACATCCACACTTACCCTTATATAATATTTTCATTGTGCTCCGTTAGTCTGAACCAATAGTCTATACTATACTGATGATACAGGCTACATTATATATGGTATTTAGGCCTCATACCATTATATAATACCTTACAGTGTAGCTAATAATGCCCCTTGGGGGGATGAGAATGCTCAGCAAAGTGTTTCAAGACTCTTAAAACCAAAACCAAAATTCACCTAGTTCTACGCGTCTTCCTTGTCTCAATCTTATTTTCCTCTGTGCTTTTTGATTCCCTATCATTTTACATAGTAACTTTTAATAACGGGCCAGAAAATTCAGCTTCTTGAATCCTCAAAGGTCAATGTTTTCTGACTGTCAGAGGTCACGACTGTCTGGCCTCTAGCAATAATGACTTCCCTCCACATGATTACTTACTAGGCCTGCTTCCAGAAGTGTCTGGTTTTAGGTGTTTAATATAGTTAGGTCCTTACTAAATGCCATTAAAAATAACTAACAGACTCCAACATCTTGATATTCTTCTCCAGTCTCAAGCAATGTGGCCTGTGTCATAAGGTAAAGAGACCTATTAAATACCAGCTGACATGGAACAGATTAATAATTATTTCCATCTTCTAATGCAGTGATTAAAAGGCCCTTCTTTATGTTCATTACAACTTCGTTAATTTCACACTTTGTGTTCAAAACTCACAATATTATAATCCTAATATCAGTGTTGTGCTAGCCAGGACTTTTCTTAGATAAAGCAACGGAATTCCGCTCATACTGATTGAAATGGAAAGGAAAAACAGTCATGGGTAACAGGACATGTGGGTCTTAAGACACAGCTGAATCTAAATTCTCAAGTCATATTTTCAGGTTAAGAATTTAGTATCCTGCAGATTTACCCTTCCTGTGTGATGGAACTGGTAGCCACCAGCATCTGTAGTCTCTTCTCCTATCCACAGAGAGAAATTGTATTTCTCAATTT